CAGCCATAGTCTTCCAGGCGACCATGACCTGTCTTAGGTTGGGAGACTCGGACTTAAATCTAGGTGCAAAGATGGTCCTCATTTTTGCCATGACTTGAACTTTCTCTTGTTCTTAAATGGGACAAATATGGCTATGCTGCTCCTTTTTTAAAAATTGTGCTTTGGGTGAAAGTTTACTGAGAAAATTGGGCTTCCATTCAACAATTGGTGCACACTTTGTGTGGTGGCATCGATTGCCGTCCCCACAAGGGAACAGCACTCCTCCTACCACACTGTTCCTTTGCAGTCATTGTTTGCTGGCTATGTGGGCAACAGGTCACTTGCATTTTCAGTTCACAGGTGTTCCCACAGCTGGGCCAGATGTAGATGATGCTATCTTAGATATTGAGCCTGAGGCTGAGAGTTGATGGCACTTTGGAGGGTTTTGGAATGTGAGAAAATCATTTTGCGTGTAGGAGGGATGGACTATCTGCAAACACAGGACAGGCTGTGGTATATTATATTCCCAGAGATCTAACACCCCTCTCTTCCCACCAACAGTGAAGTGCGCTTCCTGACCCTTGACTTCAGGCTTGACCATGTGACTTGCTTTGGCCACTGGAATCTTAGTAGTTGGCTTGGAGACTTAAAAGGTATGAGCAGGCTTCAAAGCGTTTGCTGGAAAATTCCATCATCTTTTAATTCTGTTTTTCCAGGAGCTTTTTGAAGCCCTTTCGGGCATGTATGAGTGGCTGGTTTTATGCTCTTGTGCCTCTAACACCATGAGAAGAACACAATCTGCACAGCCCACTGGTCCAAGAGAGATAAACTCCAGGAGCAGAGCCATGTCAATGGACACATGTAGTTACAGTAAAAAGCAGCACCCCCAGTGGTTCCAGGGAGAAAGCAGCACAGCTGCCCCGCCAGGGTCCATCTGTCAGGTGACTCAGGTCCCTGAGGAATACATAACACCTGCCTGTTGTTTCCGCTGTGGTGGTCTGCAGTGATAGTTGGTCAATACAGAGATGTTCTGATTCAAATATGTACAGGGTCAAGGGAGATACTAAGGAGGAACTGTTCAATAGGATGGATCTAGAGATCTCAGAATGACTCCTAGCCTCCATGCCTGTAGAGACTGAAAGCCTGAATTCTTTCACTCAACATTTTTTGGTGTCATATATCACAGGAATATTGAGTTCCTTGGGGGAGAGCAGCCATTGTAAGGATGTTGTAGGATGGGGCATTGCGTCGTTCTGCTGTATAGTGGGTCAGTATGTGTCGGAACCGACAACAAGATGGTGTGGAGGTATCATCCCCTCCTTCGTGGTACCAGATTCATCTCTGTGCTATGACTTCTGTATGTTAGGCTGCCAACACAATATAAATAAAAGTCAAAAACATTTTTTCATTACATTGAGGCTCACTATTCTATATTGACAGAGTATTCTAACTCTTAAGAAAGACAGAGTAGTTAAAATTTGTTGCAAGTTTTCATCTTCAGCAATAGTAATTATTATTTTTCCAAAATACTTCTGAGGTTACTGATATGCTATCCAGAAAGCTTGGTTGCTTAAATAAATATTATTTCCACATATACCAGGCCTTGATAATTAAAATGACTCCTGACTAAATCACATACTGGAAACATACAGCTTTCTTCCACATACAGGTATTTATCAATGCCTTTTGATAAGAGGTAGTTCTTCACATGGAACAAAGGGACATTGTGTGGTTTAAAGTCAGGGAAAGTGTTCATCAGGGTTTTATCTTTGGACTGTACTTATTCAATCTGTATGACGGCAAATAATCCAGGAAGGTGGACTGCACGAAGAAGAACGCATGATCAGGATTGCAGGAAGACTCATCAACAACCTGTGATATGCTGATGCTACAACCTTGTTTGCCAAACTCCAAGAGGACTTGAACCACTTATTGATAAAGCTCAAAGACTAGAGTGTGCATGTGATGATACTTCACCACCAAGCAAACAAAGTAGATCACAACTAGATAGAGAAGCACCATCCCAATAAATGGAGAAAAGAATGAAGTTGACAAGGATTTCATTTTACTTCCATTAATGTTCATGGAAGCAGTAGTCAAGAAATCAAATGACATCTTGCACTGGACAAATCTGCTGCAAAAGACTTCCTTATAAGCCAAGATGCCACTTTTGGGACTAAAGAGTACCTGACCCAAGTAATGGTATTTCCAATATCCTCACACGTATCCCAAACCTGTACAATGACTGAAAAAATAAAAGAAAAATGGATACCTTTTAATTACAGGGTTGGTGTTGAATTTTGAATCTCCTATGGACTGCCAGATGATGAACACATCAGTGTGGGCTGAAGTCCAGCCGGAAGAATGCTCCTTGGAAGTGAGGATGGTGCGACTTCATCAAACGCACGTTGACCATGTCAGAGAGGACCAGTCCCTGGAGAAGGACATTGTATTTGGTAGAATGAAGGGTCATCAAGAGAAGAGGAAGACCCTGAATAAGATGGATCAGCACAGCGACTGCAAAAATAGGCGCCAACACAGCAACGACTGTGAGGACGGCCCAGACCAGGTCGTGTTTTGTTCTATTGTGCGTACAGTTCCTACCAGTGCTCACCAATTTGACAGCACCTAACATTCACACAATTCAGTTTCAGAGTTACCAGAATACTGCCTCCATCCTGCTTAGCATTTCTACCATTAACATAACCCTCCTTACTAGGATCATTCATCAATTACTGCATAGGGCACTCCCCCAACTGCTGAGTAAACAAATTTCTGATCACGTATTGCATTCTAGACACTACGCATGCTGGACTGTACGTTCCTTGAAGGAAGGACCTATATTTGGCTTGTACTTGCAGATCAGTGCTTAATAGGTGCTTTGTAAGAGATGCTTTCTCTATATTTATCGAATGGGCAATCTCATATTGACGCTCATTTCACAAGTGAAGATACTGACAATCAGAAAGGCTAAGTAAATTTCCAAAGGTTAAGAGAATAGTAAGCCAGGCCTTCATCATTCAGAAAGATACCATGGACGGTATCTCTGTGAGGACAGAGGATGAGGTCCGAGGAAAGAATGAGATGACAAGGCTATGCTGGATTGTTGCCCGTGCGAAGAGACAGATGCCACTAGCAGCTTGAAGAGCCTGTTTTGGTGACTGTCCAAATGTGGGGAGGGAGGGAGGGAATGCAAGGAGCCAAGGATAACTTTTAGGCTTGGAGGCTAAGAGATCAGGAGGATGGTGTCCGCAGTAGGCAAATGAAATAGGCAAATGAGGAGAGGGCACCAGACATGAGGAATTCAAAGTCAGTCTAGTAGGTTGAGACAAAAACCTTGGAGCAGATTTATAGAACCTTTCTAGATCTACTGTTTTAAAGGTTCTGTTGAACTGTATTCTGCAGCGAGGACTAAGCTCCTGTTAAGGAAGAGAGTCGATTAAAAGTGGTTTCCCCTGGAACTTCTCTAATTGTGAGGAGATCGTATCAGAGCACCTGCGAAAGTCTGCTTCGTACCTTGATTTGTTTTTTTCCCTATGAGGTCATAGATTACTCAAAACAAACCCACAAACCCAATACCATGTAGGCAATTTGAGTCAAAGTGACCCAAAAGGGCAGGGAACTTCCTTTGGGCTTCTGAAACTTCATCTTTCCAGGAGCAGCTACATTTTTCTCTCCGAGACATAGGTTTGAAGCGCAGACTTCAAGGCTACCTCCCAACACGTAATCCATGGCTACACCAGGGCTCCTTATTTGACATATGGTGTAATTTATCTTTAGAATTAGCACAAGGCTGTTTACAGAACGCTGTGCACAATGTGATTGAAAACACAGTTCTAATGTATTATTATGGTATATAAGGTAGTATTTCAGTTACAACTCACCAGCCTTAAATTATGAATATATATATTTTTAAACAAAGCAATTTTGCTTCGTTCCCTCCTGTCCTTTCCTATATACCTTTCATCATTTACAGAAAGTGCTGGTTTTTTGTGTCACCCTTCTACAAGAGGAAGGAGGGCATGCATCAGAAACTTCTTAAAAAGTTCAAAGTCGTATCCACCAAATTAATTGGACTGACGGAACAGGTTTCTCTGTGCGGGTGCTATTAAACCAACTGGGCCTGACCTTCAGGAAGGGGAGCCCCTGGGGGTGGCACAGTCTTTGTGTTGGGCTGCTGGGGACCGCAAGGTCATTAGTTCAAAACCATAAGGCAACTGGGGCGTCACACCAGACTTTCTATTCTAGCAAAAATTAATAACAAAACCCTAAACTCACTGCCATCTGGGCGACTGACTCACAGTGACCCTATTGACCGGGTAGAATGGCCCCTGCGAGTTTACTGTGGGGAAGCAGAAAGTCTCGTCTTTCTCCTGCGGAGCCTCTGCTGGTCTTGAACTGCTAACTTTGTGGTTAGCAGGTTAACACATACCCACTGCACCACTAGGCCTCTAGACTTGGACACCCTCAGGGGCAGTTCTGCCTCCTCGAAAAGGGTGGCTACAAGTCGGAATCGCCTCCAGGGCCGTGGGTTGACGGGGCTTTCAGGGCTCGTGGGCGCCCTGGGGACGCACCCGGGCACTTCGCCTTGGACCCGGCCGCGCGGGCGGGCTCCCCTCGGCGGGAACCGCTTCCAGGATGGCCGCGCACGGGAAGAATCGGGAGCCCACAGAGCGGAGCCCGCCCAACAGTCGCGGCTGCGGCCGGCGGGTCAGGGCCGCGTGCGGGCTGGAATCCCCGCCAAGGTTCGGATGGAGACCCGGCAAAGGCCTTCGGTGCGTGCGCCGCAGCGGCCGTTAGGGGAAGCAAAACCGACGCACCCGAGCCGGCGGCCGGGCGGGAAGGAGCTCCAAGCAGCAATCAGCCCACCGGGCGGGCGGCGGGGGCGCGCACGCAGCGCGGGGGCGGCGCAGGTGCGTGGGTGGCCGGGAGTGGGGGCGGGGGGCGCCGCCGCAGGTGCTGCTGTGGGCGGGTAACGCCACGTAGCGAGGCTGCGCGTGCGCAGGCGGCAGGTGCGGGCTCCGAGTTAAATGCACGGTCTGCGGGCTCCTGCGAGTGGCGTCTTTGCTGACCTGTGCTTTGCTTTTACACGTGCTTTTTGCCCAAAGGTAAGAAGGGACACGACTGTAGAAAGACATTAAGCAGGCTCGCAGGAAGAGCCTCCGAGGTAAGGGAGCCTCTGAAAGGACTTGGTGCCCGACTTTCAGACTTAAGTTCTAGTTTGAGTTGATGGGGTGAAGAGAGTGTGCAATAGAGAAGCAACATTTCAATTCAAATCCAGGAATCAGTTGGGTGGCTAGATGTATCCTGAAGGCTCACCTTTCTCTGAACAACTGTTAAGAAACGCCACACTCGTTGCCATCCAGTCCAGGCCGACTCCTAACCCTAAAGGGCCGGGTGGAACGGCTGTTGTGAGTTGCCAAGACAGTAACTCTTCATACCGGTGTGGCAAGCAGAGCTCCTGGGGGTTTCGAACTGCTGACCTAGCGATTAGCAGCCCAGTGCGGAACCACTACGCCACCAGGGCACCTTTAACAAGTGCTAAAAACTCCTCTTTATTTTTTCTTCGAAATTTCATTTTGACTAAGTGTGAACGAGTTACTGCAAACCATTTGAAAGGGGGTTAGGGTTGTAACAGTGATACAATGGTCAATACCGTGTCAAACTCACAAAGAAGGAAAGAATGAATGTTACAGCGTTTTGATTTAGAGCAAGAGAAAGGAACCCCCTATGAAATCAGACCTGGTGGCCCTGAAGGTAGGTAACCTCCTCTTTCTCAGCCTGTCTGCACACCTCTGAAGCGAGACAAAAAACCGGGGTAAGTTGTCCGTTGATTAAACATGGACAGGGAGAGAATGGGTTTCTTCCCTTTTTAGGCATCTATTTCCCTCCGGGTTCTTTCTTCCTGCTTCAGAAAAACAAACACATTTTCTATTCGCAATGATGCCATTGGTTTCCTCTTTTTTATTCTACAAATAGAGCTTGAAGGATACACTTGTACTCATTGTTTCCGGAGGATTTAGTTCCTAATGGACGAAAACAACGTACAGGTAATACCATTCTTACCCTCAAGAGTTATTCTTGTAGCATTATCTTGTGGTAATTAACAAGCAAAATACCAGCACCTCCTGGTGTTTGAGCTAACCAAGGATATATGGAGGTGAAATATCCACATTTGTTGTGTATCAAGAATTACAAGTGTTTTTCTTTTTGTCAACTGTTGGTTTAGGTAGCAAAAAAAAAAAAATCTACCTTGTGAAAACAGTCCACTTTTCTAACCTTAGTGGGCAGATGGGTGAGCTGAGCATCTTCTAATCTGCAGATTCTGATTGAGAGGTCTGGGGTGAGGCCAAGACTCCTTTCTAAGATGTTTCAAAGTGAAGATGTGGCTGGTTTGGGGAACACATTGAGAGTCGCTAGGCTGTAGAGCAGGGGTTCTCAACCTTCCTAATGCTGCGACCCTTTAATACAGTTCCTCGTGTTGTGGTGACCCCCTCCCCCACCATAAAATTACTTTTGTTACTACTTTATAACTGTAATTTTGCTACTGTTATGAATCGGGTGGCCCCTGTGAAAGAGTCATTCCACCCCCAGGTTGAGACCGGCTGCTGTAGATATAAGGTGTCCACTGCTGTTGAGTTGACGCTGACTCACGGGCACACCACAGGACAGAGTGGAACTGCTTCCTAGGGTTTCCCAGACTGTAAATCTTTATGGGGACGGATGGCCCCATCTTTCTCTCACAGAGCACTAGTACAGTTGAGGTACTGAACTTTTAAAATCACCGTGTGGCTTGCATTTACAGTGTTGCTCAAGTTAGCAAGTGCCTTTTGACCACTTCTCGAATAAGGTGGTGGTATTTAGAAGCAACAATAACAGCTGTTAAAAATTCATCTTGTAACCTGTGCGTTCTTCTAATGGCACTTAATACACATTTTCCAGCCTCCTGCTTTCTTGAACACAGGCTTTGGAAATTTATCCCACAAAAGGTTGCATCTGGCTAGGAGGCTTCTAATTGGTTTCATTGGATGCATACGTTGGTAATTTCCCTTCAGCTGGAACCAGGCAATTAGCATGCAGCCAGATGTCACGTATTAAAAGGCCTAGCAGGCTTAGGTAGTTAGTGACCAGGTGACTTGTGGAGGAACTTGGACATTACCTCATGATAACTTGGTTTTTAGGACAGGGAGGTGATGGAGGATCTGTGTGGTCTTCAACGTGGGGGTGGTGGTAGCGGGATTGTATTTCTTTAATTCCTGAAAATTTGCCAGGTTTAGAATTCTTCCCACCCCCTCATTATTTTTTGGTAAACTTTCAGTGTGAAAATGTGGCAGATAAGAATTTGGAAGAAGTGGCCAACACAGTAATTAAGTTTAAGCCTCCGTTATACAGACAGCGTTACCAGTTCGTCAAAGACTTGGTGACTCGATATGAACCCAAGAAGGTGGGTATGGTGCTTTGCAGACTTTACGTAATGGACTGGATGTGTCTCGTGTGGAGCAAATGTTGACACCATGGCCTTGGGTGTTGGGTTCATAGCCTGGAACAGCTGTAACATACCAGCACCTGGCTTTATTGCTCTTCACCTAATTGTGTTTCTTTTCTCTTACAAATGGGAAGTTTGTGGTAAGCCTCCTAGCACCATTGTTCCAACAGCATGTGCTCACTTTGTGTCTCTGTGCCACCTGGTAATTCTCACAATATTGCAAACATTTATTAATGCTCTTACACGCTTAATAGACAACAGTAGCATATAAATGCAATTTTTGTATGAACCAGGAGACCAAAAGTCCCTGGGACTCGCTTGATTGTAATACCCGCTCTATTGCAGCCGTTAGGAATGGAAACCTCGCTATCTGAGGTGCGTCTGTGCCGTGGAGCAAGTGGCTTATAAGAACAGATCTATCGGGTCGTTGTTCTGGTGGCTAGAAGGTCAAATAACCAGGGGTCCAGACCATGCCCTTGTTTTAAAAATAATTTATTAATGGGGGTTTAATGCATAGGTCAGCTCATAGTTCAGTCACTTCAAGTAGAATTGTACAATTGCTACCACAATCTGTTTCCAGACATTCTTTTCCTACACGGACTCAATGACATCATCTTTTATCCCACCAGCACCACTGTACCCCACCCCCTCCCCATGTTCTACTTGGCTGCTGCTGTAGGTTCATCAATCCTGGGTTTCCTATACCGAAAACCAGAAAAGCATACCACACAGCTTTAGGAGGGTGACCTCCAATGACATAGAGCACCTCTGAGATACACCCGACTGTGAACAAATAATCACCAAACAAAGCAATACAAATCAAAAAGGGAGGTTTGAGGGCAGGCGATCCGGTCCAGCCTGCCTCACGGGGTGGTGTGGACCTGGTCTCTACTGACCGTTTTGACTGTCAAGTCAGATTATGCCTCTGACCTCCCTACTCCTCTCTCCCAAGCACTCTGTTCCGTGACCACGTTCCTCCCATGCCTCCATTTTAGATGGGGGAGTTCTCCAGAGGCTTGTTTCCTATGTAGTTCCACTGATGACTCTTGGGCTCCTGCTGTCCTCCATCGCCTTCTGCACACCCGAGGCTCACAGTTCCGGCTCTGGTACCGATCCTTCCCTTGAATTTGGGTTATATGATTGGATAATCATCTGGTGACTGATGATGGTGTTCTTCTATTGACCTCTCACTTAGATGGCTGCTTGTTTGGAGACGAGCCTTTAAGACCCTAAATGCTAGTTTATTCAGTAGCTGGGCACCATCTAAATTCTTCACATTTTGCTAAAGCACCCTTATCTTCTGTGTTCCCTTCCTGACTGGCGAGTATCAAGTAGGGCTATGATGTAAGAACTAATTGTTAAGTTGGTGCTAGGAATTAGTCAGAGCCCAAAACCCATTCCTGTATATATGCTTTTTTTTTTTCTTATTGGGAGTTAATACATACATCCTATCTTTCCATAGTTCAATTATGTCAAACAGAATTGTATGATTGCTTCCATAATCGGTCTTCAAACACACTTTTCCTTCCTTTGATGTTGTATTCCTTTTATATCCCCCTCCGAACCCTCCCCCACCTCCCCAAACCCTTGTTCTATTTGCTACCCCTATAGGCTCATCAGTCCTGGGTTTCATTTACCAAAACCAGAAAAACAAAAAACGTGATTTCAAGGGGAGACCCGCAATGGCATAGCATCTCTGAGATACACCCTAATATGAACAATAAGCAAAATAAAAGTGTCCATCATAGGGTTGCCAGCAATCATATCTTAATTCAGCATATAGGGCACTGACATAGCAAGGCCTGTGTGTCTGCCAAGCAACAATACTACACCGCTTTGGTGCGGCTGGCTTCTCAGACCCCAGGTGTTTTCCGACTGAAGTCCTCCAGTTACAAGTGTGTGTGAAGTACAGCCCAGTTCCTTCCGTGGAATTTCCACATGGGGTCTCACCGATACAGCCTCTGGGGCAGGCTGTGTGCTCCGAAGATCCAGGACTGTGTCCAGTGTTGCATGAGCTTGGCCTGGGATCCTGGGATATACCCCCAGATGCCGGAGTGCAATGTTGCCCACCTGCTGAACACCACCAAAGACACGCCCCACCTAGGGTCCCCCAAAGCATCCTCATTCACGTCTCCCCCCAGCTGGAGGTCATCCCTCTCCGTTCCCTCCTGCCATCAGACATCCACCTGTGCTCCCCCAAATGTGACCATTTCTTTTCCCCTTTAAGCCTTTATTCTCTGGCAGGGCTGCCTCCCTCTTTGGGGACCTCACTCCAGAGCCACATGGCAACCACTCGCCAGGTCTCTCCGAAGGCTTTTGACGAGAGTCCTTTCTTGTGTCTTCCAGCGTCTAGTAGCCGTGGGCTTTCTCTGGCCTTCAAAGGCTGTTTTACATGGCTGTCCTGCCTGTAAGAGGGATGCATAAAGCTCTTGGGAAAAATCCGCTGACTCCGAATTCCACTTTCTCAGAAGCTCTTTGAAGCCCCTTTATATCTGGTATCTCTAGGCCTTTAAAATTTTTTTTTACTGTCATCACTCAGATTAGATCCCACGCCATCGTGACTGCATATTAACTGATATTGCAGGTTGGGTGCAAATAGGGCCCGTGCCCATACTGTACTGTCACTGTTGCCAGATTACAGAAACCAGGTGGATTTGAAAGATTCTAAATTTCATTTTCATATGCACAGGGAAGGAGACCAGAGGGGGGTGGGGGTTGGGGGGGTGTCTTTCCCCAAATGCCCCTCTCCTGAGGTTTTGTATTTTTAGATCTTTTGGGAGCAACTAGGAATTTTGGTCACAGGGGTTGTGGTTTCTTTTACAGTCGGGTATAATGAAGGCTAATTTTGGAGTAAAGTCATGATTCATACAAGTTAAATTGGTATATGTTACATTTAATTCACAGCATAGGTATCGAGTCTGATGTCTGACAGTTTACTACATGCGAGTACTTTGATGGAGAGTAGATGCTGGCAACTGCAGTGAATTTCTGGTTAAATAAATTTTCTTGCTTGACCTTCAAGATTCTTTTGTGTGCCATCCCTTGTAACTGCCACCTTAGTGTTTTGTTCAGTTTTGCCTAGGTGTATTTGGTTAAAGCATCTTAAATTGCCTTCACCTGAAATGTCCAGTATGGACAAGTGGCGTGCAGATGCGCATGGGTGTGCAATAGGTTTAAAGTTTTGGAAAGTTTGCCGAAGCATGCTGAGAGTATTTTCCTGAGTAGAAAATGTATGTGTGTCTAATATTAGTTTAGAATTGGTGCTGTCGAGTCATCTGACTCATAAGAACACCACAGACAACTGAATTGGACGCCCTGCCACCCGGTCAATCACTATGCTCAAAATTACCATGTTTGAACCCATTGTTAAAACCTGTGAAAATGGCATGGGGGCAATTCTGACCCTCCTCCAGCTCCCAAGGCCAAGTTCAGACATGCTTCTACCCACCATGCTCTGCTTCCTCACCGTGTCCTGACTCCAGCTCTTCCTCCCATGGTGCTCTACTTGTCTGCTGGGTTTGATGACTCATTGCAGTGACCACAGAACCCACAAATGGTGCTCATGCTTGTGAGTTTATTAGGCAAGGTTACAATGCGGGTGCGAAATACTCAGAATACCATTGTTCAGTCAGGAGTTTTCTTCTCTGGCTTTCCCACAGGCAGGCCACGCTCCTCTTGCTCTCAGACTTTTGGCCTGACTTATACCCTGCTCAGGCAATGCTACTAAGCTCCGTTAAGGCTGCTAGTGACCGTCCAAAGGATATATACCACTCTGCTATAAGACAGCACAAAGGCATTCAGCTCCCCCAGTTAAGTCCCCAGAGGCCAGCCTGGTGCCCCAGAGCACTCGGCTGTACTTGCTCTGCGGGCTATATAGTCCATTGCTGTATCGCCTGCTCTGGCTGTGCTGTTGCTGCTTCTCTGCCATTGTCTTTGCTGGTAGTGATATCCCCATTCCTGCTGCTTAGAGGACTCATTAAAAAAGATTTATCAGGGGCTCATACAACTCTTAGCACGATCCATACATACATCATTTGTATAAAGCACATTTGTACATTCATTGCCCTCATCATTCTCAAAACATTTGCTCTCCACTTAAGCCCCTGGCATCAGCTCCTCATTTTCCCCCCCCCTCCCCCACACCCCCTCCCTCATGAAGCCTTGATAATTTATAAATCATTATTTTGTCATATTTTACACTGTCCGACGTCTCCCTTCACCCACTTTTCTGTTGTCTGTCCCCCAGGGAGGAGGTTATACGTTGATCCTTGTAATTGGTTCCCCCTTTCCAACCCACTTTGCCTCCACCCTCCAGGTATCGCCACTCTCACCACTGGTCCTGAAGGGGTCATCCGCCCTGGATTCCCTGTGCTTCGAGTTACTATCGTACCAGTGTACATCCTTTGGTCTAGCCAGATTTGTAAGGTGGAATTGGGATCATGATAGTGGGGGGTGGGGGGTAAGAGGATGCATTAAGGAACTAGAGGAAAGTATGTTTCATCATTGCTACACTGCACCCTGACTGGCTCATCTCCTCCCTGCGACCCTTCCTTAATTAGGGGATGTCCAATTGCCTACAGATGGGCTTTGGGTCTGCACTCCGCACTCCCCCTCATTCACAATGATAAATGATTGATGGCTCATTTTATACCTTGCAGGATGGCAGCCAACAATGAATCGCCTTAACAAGCACTCAAAACTGAATCCTATCAGTAATTTCTTCTACCTTCTCTTACCCCAGACCCATTCAGGAAAGGTCATTTGTTGGGACTTTGAGGCTGTGGCTCGAAGAGCCATGTTGAAAAACACACTGCACCAACACTATGTCCATTTCTACGGACTGGTCTCTCCTGGCAGCATGTCCAAAATATATGACCCTCTATTTTAGTCTCACCAGCCTAGCTTCTCAGGGACATTCTGGTGGTCCTCCTTCCAAGACAGTTGTTTGCTCTTCGGGA